GGCCAACTCCACCAATCAGGAGGAGACAGCCACGGCCATTGCCGTTCAAAAACGCTGGAGACGCTGTAGTACATATGCCAGGCCTGTAAGTGGCACTGTAGTCTGCCACAAAAGCAGCGAAGAAGACTTGGTTACCATGGTTACCCTTCTGTTTATTCTCCGCTGTGGCTTTCTTTCTCCCTCCCCGGGGCAAGCGTTTGTTCCTTATGCTGCTTTAATTCAATGCAATCCCTCCCCGTCGAGGCAAGCACTGTAATTCTCTCCGGTTAGTCCACCAGCAGATGACAAACACCCACCTCTCCGCTTCTTCCAAGGAACGAGGGGACCGTGCGGCAGAGTTTCAGTTTCAGTTTCTTTCGCCGGTCAAGATGTCCGTTAAAGTTTAAATCTTCCGGACAAAATTAGAAAAGTGCCGGTCAAAGGTCTTCTTTGTTATTTATTGAGCTTTAAAACAAATGAATAACGACTCTATAGGCCTATAATAACACGGAGGACGGAGATCTCTTTTCCTCCCCCTCTTCTGACAGCCCAGCAGCTGATCAGAGCACGTCTCCCCTCTCCTGCAGGGGGGGCGTGGTCAGCTGCAGCTCACAGAATCAGACCCGTAGACAGCAAACAACACATAGAGCGAAATGAGGCATGGCTAAAATGCATGATCTGTTTGGTATTTCGAAAACAGAAACGTATAAATATACCTTATACAGTATAGGTATGGCCCTACAATATATCATTTAAATATAGCATGATAGGTTTCCTTTAAATATCTCAAAAAGTGTAAAAGATATAAACAATCTGACTAAAAGGTCAATAGCTGAAGGTCTTGTGACCGTTTTAAAGTTGGAATGAAGTCTCTAGCTGAAAGTATGTGGAAGGAGTAGCATTTGGCGCAAGGTGTAGGTAAAAGAGGATTTGAAGGTTCCTCCCATTGAGTTACATGTTAAAGAAATAGTTTATAAAGCTAAATATTTCAAAAAGTATAAAATATTTTGAACAAGTTGAACGTTTCCCATCATGTGCTGAAAAGGCTGAATATTTTTGATATTTGAATGGTTTCTGTAGCTGAAAGTATGCTGAAGTTATTGAGAGCCAAACTTTTTGTTGAAATAATAATAATAAGAAAAAGATGCGGAAGAATAAGTATACAGTAAACAGCATTCCACTAATAAGTAAAACAGCATTCCACTAAGAAGTATGTTGAATACTATACTGTGTGTGGCTTCGCCAGTCACACAGAATTAAATTGTGAAACATGCCCGCACAATCTCATTAGACATCATAGGAAAATACATGTGTGGGTGTACTTGGGGTGCAGAGATTTTAATTGAGATTGTTTAAAAGTCAAATACTTCAGATTTACCGTATATTATTGCTTTTAACCTCTTAAGCACGGCGGTCCCCCCATTGGACCCCTCCCACCGTTTTGTTTTCGAGATAATGTCTCAGGGCTTCTTAACATTTATGAAACTATTAATGTGTAGCACCAGATTAACGGGAAGAATCTCAGCTAACTGAAGATATGAACCATTTTTACCAAAACAAAACACAAGTCTCATAAGAAGCGTCTAAATGACCCCTGAGCGAAAAAATTCTAACGCACTGCGGCACACAATTCAAGATAAAGATACCCTTATTACTTATCGTAGCTGCACATACAATATAGCCGATTAAAGCTGAGACTCCACTGATTATTTAGGTATAGTATCATCACTGAGCGATCCTAAATTGCGACAGGGGAAGCAAACACAGACATCACAACACGTACCTTTACGGAGCTTTTACGGCAGATCGTCTCACCGTAGCTGTCAATTAGGTCAAAATATGTGTTCAATGGCATTAAAACGAAAAAAAAAAAATCTACAACTGTTGATCCATAGGTTGATAATGTACCTGTGCCTTTTAAAAAATTATTTATAATCCATAATTCCATTTTTATGTAAAAATCGGAGCGGAAAAGTTAGCTGCTAATGGTAGCCACCAGAGTGTATGCAGCTTCCGGTTTTGGTAACGCGTCACTCTCACTCCTTATTTGTTAACGTGTTGGTGTGTATATAACTTTCCCTCGATTCCATTGGGTCTAGCGGTTATAAAGAGATTTCATTCATCAAAATCGACCAAGGGGGGCCAGAGATAGGTCAAATCCACCCAAATGACCCCAGAAGTGGGGTTTTTTGGCTAAATCTCTCTAAAAAGGTCAAATTTAACTTGTTTTGCATCAATCTTGATACAGGGTACTTATTATATGTTGTACTTTGGATTCCTAAAGCTTTTAGTCTACTAACCCATCATCCAAGGGTAGTTTTCACTATCTGTAAAAAATAATTTTTGGACGGACACTATAATTTACAGTTTTTTACTATGTAAAATCTGAATTTTCTTTAAAATAAAAAACATCTATATTGATTCTGACTTTTCTAAATCCAACTCACAGGTTTATCATTACTTTGAGAAAAAAGATGATTAATTTAACCCTTTTAGAAGGGAAGATATGGTCATTTGTTCTGGGAATGTCATTTTCGAGCCTGAGACCTGAAAAACAGGCTCAGGGCTTAAGAGGTTAAACAAAGCAGCAGTTTTCTTACTTAAAGGGCCCATGTCATGGCCATTTCCACTGATCATAATTACATTGTTGAGGTATACTAAAATAGATTTATACTGTGCAATTTTCCAAACTCACATTGGTTTCGCATACAGCATCTCTGTCAAGCATGTGTATTCAGCAGTATTCACTTTCTCCACTAAACGACTCGTTGGAGCTCTTGCCCCCCCCTCCCTGTGAGCCTAGTGTGCTCCGATTGGTCAGCTCGGCCACTCGTTCTGATTAGTCAACCACCAGAGAGGCTGCGCCCATGTCTAACAGTGCTTTTTCCCGGCTGCTCTCAGCGTAACATCAGTCTTATCATGGCGTCGGTACAGCCGTATATTTTATATACATATATATTTTTAACTGTTGTTATAGAAGAGTGTGACGGCCCCAGGGCCTTTGTCTTACGATGGGGTGGAGCTGAAGAGGCTAATCAGCACGATCACGGACACCTCCGGAGCTATTAAGCCCAGCTGCCCGGAGTCACACGACGGCCCCAGTCTCTCTCCAAAGCGGCTGCAGGAAGACTAACTCTGCGATCCTCTCAACCACCTATGTCTGCATTTACCACAATAAATGTGCCGTGGTTTTGTAAACTCGTGTATGTCTCCTTGTCTTTCCGTTGTGGCCTACGAGCCGCTCATAACAAAGAGTAAGTTATTTTTACCCGTTATAAACTACTACTGTTTGATGAGAAATCAAATCATGGTTTGCTATATATGAATTCAGGGAAGAAAGGATAGGCCTACTAAGTATTTCCATTAAACTTTATTTTTAGAAATGTACAAAATGAACATAAATATACATATATACACACGGTATATCATCCATTCCTCCTCCTCGCATCTTGCCTGCGCACAGTCGGTGCGGTGCCTTTTAGCACGAGGCCTCAATAGTAGTAGAAGTCCCTTCCCCGTCATGGATTGTCCGCCAGGATCTGGCTGGACGAAATCAAATGCAAATCACAAAATATTAGAGAAACTTAGTTGTTTTAGATTCGTTAGTAGTAGTTGTGTAATGAACAGCTTGCCTGCTAATATGCTAACCTAGCTTTGTTTACCTTGGTAGCTAACACGATATGAACGTTAGCTTGGAGGAAAGGCAACTATAATGCAGTGTAATAAAACTACTATGAACAAAAGCTAGTGGTTCATATTAGGCTAGCAATAACGTGTTTATAATTGCAATCGTATACGGGTATTCTGCTACCATACAATGTAACTTGCATGAATACATTGTTTTGCGCTAGCATACAGCTAGCCTCGTTAGCTACATGCAGTATATGTACTGTCACAATGTACGGTAAATCACCCGGAGTATACTGTATGAGTATTCCGTGTGTGTGACTGCAGACATTCTCCTGCCATGACAAACATGTAAGGCCATCTGCTGACATTGTAGTTGATATTTAAACGCTAGCAACGTAGCATCACAAAAATGTTTTTCCGACCAAAACTAGCTCTAGCTCCGTGTGTTAGATCGGTTGCATACACGCTACGCCAGCTATAATGTAATTACGTTTCGCGACTGACCGCACGGCAAATCACCCGGAGTATACTGTCAATAGGTATTTTGTGTGTGAATGCAGACATTCTCCTGCTATGAGATACATGTATGCAAGGCCATCTGCTGATATTAGAGTTGATATATGGAAACTCTAGCAACTTAGTTAGCACAGTTAGCACTGTGTCAATGGCTTAGCAGTCCAACACAGTTTACACATTTAAACAGTCTTGTTTGATAAATACACAAATAACAATGCAAACTTACAGGTTGTGTACCCAGATCTTCCCCTGCTCCAAACGGTCCAAACAAGCTGTGCATATCCGGCCTCAAACTGGGCAATGTTTTGGAAGCTTTCGTCTGTGAAATGTCGGTTCTTCGAACCTCTGGAGGAGGAACACGCCGCTGCTGGTGTGGCCATAGCTCTTCGGGATTGGTCCATTTCGTTCCGGGTACCGCATGACATCAGGCGGTACCCGGAAGAATCAAATGGGCAGTGACGTATCTCCAACGAGGCGTTTTGGGGAGGTATTTTCTGTGTTAGAGTTTTACTCGCTACAGGGTGTACTTTGAGGGTTTTGACTCTGCACACCGTTTACATGCATAAAAACCTTCATAACACACAAGGGGACGGGTAATAACCGGAAAAGCATGACATGGGAGCTTTAAAGAAAATTGTGAGAATTGGTTATTTCACTGTTCTCCTATCTATTATTCCATTACTTTTCCATTTCTGCTGATGACCTTTGTCATTATTGACTAAATGAAAAAAGAGCATTGAATGTATTAGCAGTCAGTTTTAAGAAGGAAATAACAAGCTTGGAACTCTGAAAGTTCATTTCTTTCAAAACCTTCAGGGTTTTATTGAGATTTTAGCGGGATGCCTCCTGCAGAGAGACGGAGCTGCGGTCAATACCTGGAGCTCTGAGTGGCAGCCCATTGTCCAGACTTCTGGGTTTAGTGGTGATGAACAGATAGCAGAGGACACACAGAGTGACGATGAAGGCCAGAAGAACCACAGCTGCAACAGAGAGACCTACAAGAGCTCCAAGACTGTAAAGCAGAGAACAAAGACACAGGAGGACTATTATACATACCTTGCTCTGAAAGACTATACATAACATTTGCAACCAACTGCAAAAGTTTAAAATGTGGACACTGATTAGAATAGGTAAATATTGCTATCTATTTTTGATTAAAGGTGCAATGTCCAATACCTGGACACAAGCTACAAATAAATAGGGGCAGACCATACTACTGAGTTTAGGATGGCTAGATTAAAGCTAGCGACCAAATTGATGTCGGATTTGTGTGAGAAGTTACATAAAATGATGCGGAATTTCAGTACATGAGAGGGAATCTGAGTGAGAGTTTGCTGCTAGTGAGCCAAAAGTGGTACCAAACCCATCTACTAGATCTTTACAATCTAAATTAACAGTCACAAGTTATTAAAAAAGCCAATGAGAAACTAACGCAAGGTCTAGAATATGAAAAAATGCAAACCAAACTGCTGAAACTCTTAGAGCTGATAAAACAAAAAACAAGTCCACGAGTGGTAGTGGACTAGTTTATCTAAACATCATTTACATGTTAGAATGCTAGCGTTAGCATTTAGCTCAAAGCAACACTATGCCTCAGTACAGCCTCACAGAGCTTCTAGCATAACTAATTTGGGAACATCCAACTTACACTTTCAATTATCAGTGCATACGTGCATTCTCACTGACTAGTACTCGGATGGTGTACTGAAAATGGTCGAAAAGCTGAGCGAAGAGCGCTGGACACTGCACTCTTATCGGTCGCCATCATAGCTTTGTATGGGGATGGAAAGTTCCATTAGCAGTTGCTCTGGTGAAACAGCACTTTACAAATGTAAGTTAAGTACCGCTGTCGCCTATTGTTGTCGGATTGAAGCCATCAGTATGTTTATTGGGTTGATTTAGGAATTCATTTAGTCTGTAATGATTTGGTACCGTGAACAATAAGGATGCAAACGGAGGCAATTGTTATTTCCATTGAGTCCACAGCAGCCGTGATTAATCTGAAGACTGGCTTCCTGTCTGTCAAATAATTGATTTCATAATACTGCTGCTGGTTTATAAAGCATTAGGGGCGTTCACACCAAGTACTTTTCCCACAGTAGTTCATGAGAACTTTAGTTCATGAGAGCTCTTTAGTTCTGATGAACTAAAGCAGATCGCGTTCACACCAAAATGAGTTCCTGGGGGTGGATTAGGCAAATGAGCCGCTGACGTCACTTCTTCTTCTTCTGCTTTGGGTTTACTGGCAGGCCGCAAACAACTTCACGGCGAGTACAGTAGGTGGCGGTATGCACCTTAAAGTTGCAATTCGCCAAAAAACCGAGAGAAGAAGAAGAAAAAAAACTTCCGCTTCCGCTGTATGCTTCTGTTTACCTTCCGACCTCAGGCACGGTATGGAGTTGACGTTTTGGTGGTCGTGTTATACAGCTTCGTAACTGAGTTATTTAAGCCAATAACCACAAATACAAATACAGATCGACCATTCAAATGCAATAGAAATGCTGAGTCGGAGGCAAAGGCGGTTAAGAAGCCTTAATAAAAGGATTGGACCACGAAAAGCACACGTTATGGACATGTTTCGCCGTAGGACAGCTGAGCATGATGACCGTTATCACGCCCAAAGAACAGCAATGGTACGTTCATTAAATTACATTAATACTATCTAATGTTGGATTTATGGAGTTATGTAGGGCTAATTTGTGTCTTTGTATGTGTTTCCAGATATGCGAATACTACGGAACGCGTCGTGTCCCGCGCTCTCTCTGGGTGAACAATAGAACATCGGCTTGGTGGGAGGTGGTGCCAACACCAATGTGCAGTGGATCAAAGATTTCCGAATGTCCAAGGGCTCTTTTCAACTCCTCTGTATTCGCCTGGAAGCAACGTTGGGGAGAGGCATCTGAACAGCATGGAAATTGTAAATTGACAATAAAGCTGATCTTTTGTACAGTGCATTTGGTTCTCTCTTTTATTTACCAGTCAACAGACACAATTACAATAGTGCAGACACACCTTAGTGCAAAGATTAAATGTCAGTATCAAAACAGTACTCATACTGTATATTTGTATATTAATGAGTATATTATTATGTTAAATGTGTGTTAAAGACAATGGGATGAGGTTGAAAGCTCTTTAAAAACTGTTGTATACCATCTTTACTGTGATAAATACATACATGTTAAGCATACACACCTGAAGAACTACGTTACACACACACAGGTTAGTCTGTGTACCGCTGCACTGCTGCTGGTTTAAACAAAGACAGTCATGATGCTAGTGCTGTGCATGTAGGTTCTCTTTTATTTATCAGCAGCAGATCAATAAGTGTCAGTATCAAAACAATATAATAACAGTGGCATAGATAGATATATATATCTATATATATATAGATATATATAGATAGATATATATATAGATATATATATATATATAATAACAATAGGTAGGCTCAGCAGCAGACACACCTTAGTGCAAAGTTAGGTGTCAGTATTAATAACAGTGGCATATATATATATATATAATCACAATAATACAAAATTAACTGTCCCAGGTGTAGGCAATTTGGGGTGAAGTGTCTTGCCCAGGGACACAACGACATCCTGACTGCAGTGGGGTTTGAACCTGTGCTCCCCTGATCCGAACACCAACGCACCAGACCACTGCACCACACGCCTCCCAACAAGTCATTGTACAGTTTATCAACGACGACAAGTTTTTCTTAATTTTTGTATTGAAGGCCTGTTGGATTTAATCAGCTCGCTTAGCACTGCCAGAAGCCCAGCCTGAAAGGTATTTTGTTGCTCCACCTCGATTCCTGGGCCTTGTGTGAATGCAGCAGCCGTTCGTCGTGCATCTCCTTGGCACGCAGGTCCTCATTCTCCTTGCTGACCATGGCACGGCGGTCCATCGCCATGATGGTGTCAAGGAAGCTGTCATCGCGTGCCCACTTTCCTAAGGTGAAATATGCAAGATACAAGATCAGTTTAATCGCAACAACGAGGCAAAATGTTGATTAATAGTCCAGTTTACTCTGAGATAGAAGATCAAACCGTTTTCATGTAATCCTTTTATTTATACATCACATATACTGAGGTAGCTGGGCCAATCAAGCTTGGACTGAAATATCGAAATTACATCTCTCTTTGATATTGACTACAATTATTGCTACAATGCATCAATTCATTATCAAGCAAATGACTTGTGCATGAACTCTAAGCAGCGGTGATGCAATACATATTTCGATTTACTTTTACTTATTAATAGTTATATCACCTTCTTCTTCTTTCAAGGCCAGAGTAGTTACAGTGTAAGTGGATTGACATCTAACATAACATGGCTGAGTACAATTATAACAATCAATAAAAAAAAGGAAAAATAAATAGAATTTCAATTACATTTCTACTTAAATGTGCAAAAATATTAGAACATCAGTCTTTGTGGCATGCAGGTAATCAACTGTTTAAGCTTTTACCATTAACATGTAGAATGAATGTTGCAAATTACTTGAAATTATAGCAACTAATGTATTGTTAGAGGTAAGAATACAGAGGTAGCATTATGTCCAGCTAGCATGCTAATTGCTAACGTTATATTATTGTTTTATCCCGGAGGGGAAAACTAGTTTCTAATCCTGAGAGAAACACCTCGCCTGAAACACACGATTAGTGCCATGAGTTAGTGAAGCAAATTACAGAACATTGCACACTTATTCACAAGTCAAAACGTGTTCATAGCGGGCATGGCTGAGAATAGCTAGCTAGCTAGATGTTGTTAGCCAGCTTGGACCTAACGTTAGCAAGTTCTAGCATGGCTAGCTCGATCTACTGAGCAAATAAAAGTACATCTAAGACCAGTATTGTGCAGATTAAAACAGTGCAGTGCATGTATTTTATTTTTACCTTGGTAGTCGTCCCGACATGACTTTGCCAGGTCTGCTAACTTTGCAGAGCCACGGAAACTGCATTCAGTAGAAGCTTCTGAATGCGGCGCTTCGCGTCCTCCGAGTAAATCGCCAGAAGCGCCGAGACATCCTCATCAATTCCACCGCTCCGATGATTTATTTAGTGTTGCTATAATAACTGCTTTCACAAAAGTAATCTCTTCGGGTGCGCTGCCCGAAGCGAGCAAATACAATGGCCGCTTCCAAAAAAAAATTCAGAGTCAAACGGGCGTGGTTTACATTCCGCACAGCCAATCAGACGTACGAACTATTTTCTCCCACAACAGTCCCTGCTCTCTAGCAGGGACTGAAAAGCGGGTCGGACAAACTAATTTGAGCTACTTTAGTTCCTGGGGCTTTTTGGTGTGAACGCAAATATATCGTCGTTCTGATGAACTATTGTGGGAAAAGTACACCAAAGTACTCCGGTGTGAACGCACCTATTGAATGGTTTAGGGCAAAAATACATTTCTGATCTCCTGCTAAATGATGAACCATCCTGATCTCTTAGGTCTGCTTTCTGTCCCCAGAGTCAGAACTAAACGTGGAAAAGCAGCATTCAGTTATGCTCCAAATATCTGGAACAAACTCCCAGAAAACTGCAGGTCCGCTGCAACTCTTACTACTTTTAAATCCAGGCTGAAGACTTTTCTTTTTGTTCAGCTTTTAATTTAACTATTCATATCTCACACTGCACTGTATCTTTTATTAATGTATTTTCTATGTTTATTTTATTATATTTGTTTTTTAATGACTGTTTTTAAAGGCCATTTTATAATGTTTTTCTGCTGCACTATTTTTATGTTTTCATTTTTGTAAACAATTTGAATTTCCTTGTGTAGAAAGGTGCTATATAAATAAACTTGCCTTGCACTGTTGACATGCATGCACTATGCAAGTACTCAGTGTACACAGTGTACTTTAATGGAAGTGTAATAACAGAAGTATCCAAACTGAGACGCAGTTGTTTATACTCCACAGTTCTTATGTGCTGCCCACTATTCTTGCAAGCGTGTGTATTTTGTTTAATTTAGTTTGAAACTGATTATTCTTACCCTTTTCTGCTATCTGGCTTTTGTATTTTCTATTTACAAACAATACTCAATCAAGGCAAACATTGTCAGAATGTGAATTTGGATCCTGTTGCTGCTTATTCTCATATTCAGTGAGTGTGATTTGGTTTGAATAAGTGAAGTGTGCGCTTGCATATCCTTAACACTTCTGCCAGGTGTTAAATGATGTAAAGATGTGTATAAAATATTCATTGTCTCTGTTTGCTAGTGTTCTTCAAATCTAAGCAGCCGATTAACTGAGTGATGTGTTATGTATTCATGCCTCATTATACGAACGCCTGCTCTATGCCTTGAAACAGTGTAAATGTGTTGTACTATTCCAAATGGAATTCTTTTTACACATAATTACTGCTCAGAGGCGGTTAATTTCACAGGCTCAAAGCTCCTTTAGAAATGTGTTTGTAACATGCTACATGACTTGCATTGTGATAGGATTACCCCCCCCCTGCAATGTAACACTTCCATTTCTGCCCCCTGTTTTATGTCTTTATGTCTTAACTCTTGTCCTTATATGTTTCTTGTTAAGCGACTTTGGGTTAATGAAAGGCGCTATATAAATTAAAGTTATTATTATTATTATTAATAATACTATCCAATTGTATTGTGAAAACAATGATCTGACTGTCACAACATTAATTATAGGATCTAAAGCTCATAGAGAAGAATATCAAGCTAACAAGCAAGAAACCTGTCCTTAAGTGAGTTTTACCGTTCAGGGTTTGTCACCAAATCTGCATTTTATCATCTCAGAAATAATAATGGCATGGGACCAATACTGTCCCAAAGTCAAACTAATGCTGTGTCTAAATTCAGACATTTCCCTTAGTACAACAGCATGTTCACTGTGAACACTTTTGAATTTCAACCATGTAGTGTTGATGGCTTGCTACTTATGTACTGAAAATAGAAATAGATGAGTGCAGAAGGAAGTTTAATAACTTAATCCAGACTGAGACGCCATTCTTCTAACTGTAAAGTTATCAGGGATGCTAGTAATAACTTATATTGCTTTTGTGTCAACTGACCTTTTTTTAACCTCTGCTAGTTTGTATTTAGATTTAGAATTAGATAGACGGTGTGTTGTTAATTGAGCACACTTGTGCAGCATGTGAATTTCGACCGCGTAGCGTAGCTATGCCATACTTCACATTAGGACACACTTTTGGCACACGTGAGGGCAGAAGGACACAAATTAAAGCACAGAATAATCCTTTAATATCAAACTGGCCAGATTACTGTAGTGCTCCCCCATTACAAAAAGAAAGAACTTCATCAGATTACAAATATACCTAGTAGCAATAGGAATAACAGTTCAAAATACAATATAATGGTGCCAGCAACAGGGGGGTCGCTCAAAACTTCCTAGCTAAATACAAGGACACAAAAATCAAAATGAATGACTAAGGTAATGCTAAAAAGACACATACGGTTTAAACAACATGTAAGTAACTATATATATAACACTTTTTCAAATCATTTTTAACACCAGCAGAAATGGCCTTTGGATTGGTCAGTGACTTACACAGCCTACCTCTACAGAAGTGGGAAATGTAAACGATAAACTGAACATTATTTTTTGTAATTATTCATGTAAACCTTTTATGTAATGGCCGGTATCGTATGTGCAATTACTTTAACGAGGAATCGCGAAACAAACTGCCCCCATGTTTTGCAAAAAGTATAAAAACTCAAAAGGTTGGGTTCATTTACATGGTTCAAAGGAACCAATACTGTGACCAAAGAGTTGTCTGCACATAGCTCGACTAGAATGGCAAGTGGCTGCTTTAGAGATGTTTTTTATTGATGTCATTGTAAATGGTTGATTGGTTTTTAAAAGGACATTGATGTGGCATTAAACGTGTCATCACTTGGGGGCCCTTCACTACCCGTGGCCTTAAGCAGTTTCCTTCTTTTATTTTATCTTATAAATACTACGAGCATGCCTTTTTTATATAAGAGTGTTCTATTTTCTTCATCTCTATTTATACTTTCCTGTAACAACATACATTTCTTATTTGTGGGCTAATAAAGGAATTCTAAATTCTGATTTCCTTATTCACATTCTGCATGTCTAAGCCTCACTCCACACTTTGCAAATTTTTTCAGAAGAACTACATTAGAAAAAGTCCCTTAAAAAAACATTGATGTCGGTGGATGTGTATTATCTAAGAGTCAATAAGAGCATCCTTAGATCTATGGTATTTACTGAATGAAAGGCAAGGTTTCCCCTAATGGTATTGCACTGTGTTCTGAACTCAAAGTGACCCTGCATTAGTACTGTAAATGCCATTTGAGCTTTACAAATGACTCTTTTATCTAAGCAAATTAGCCTAATTTGATCCAAACGTGAACAGACTGTAAAATATCAGCAACAGGTTGGCTCCTGACAACACACCAATGATACTTGCTTATCAACCCACAAATGCATGTGCTCCAAACAGCACAACTTGCATAATTATTGTTAACTGCAGGAGAAACTATGCCTATAATGCACATTCATGTTATGTCATGCATAAATAGTAAATGTACCCACATTATAAATGTCAAATACGGAGGTAAACATATGCAACACTTTCATTTGACTGTCCTTACCTCAACCACCACATGTATCCATATTCGTAAGGGAAGAAGCTGTTGGGGTCATCGCAACAGTACTTCAAGTCACTGAACCCGCAGCAGAAAAGTGCCGTGGCATCACTGTCCGCTTTCGGACACGTGAAGCCCTCCACGAGCACATCTGCCTCGCTGTAGTAACCTTCACAGTCCGAGCTCATATCCGACACACACTGTCCGCACATGGACTGCCAGATGCGGTGTGGCACACGTTAAAGCCGGCTCTGCTGCTGCGCGTCTCCCATCGCTGCACCTCCACATCACGGAGTCCTGGAGCTGCACACACAC